AAGGTCGGCAGGTTGCGGGGACGCCGACCCCAAAGGCCCAGGCCTTGGCCCGCGGCGGCTCGAGCTCTGCTGTTTCCCTGAGACGTGGGCTGGGCGCGGAGGCGGAGAAGGGCTGAGTCCCCGGGGGAGACCGGGCTGCGACCCAGGCCTGATTTCGCCCTTAATTCGGTTCCTGGATTCCTGCGTGTTAAGGAATATCACTTTCTCAGCGTGTTGGGTTTTCTGTCCATATGCTGAGGAGTGTAGGAGAGTTGGGGGTGCACCTAGAATGTTCTAGTCTCCAGGACAACGTCTTTGTTCTTGTTTTGTTTGTGGGAGATACGGTCTCACGAAGTCAGTCGGTACTTCAGGCTGGAGAGTCTCCTGTCTCAGCCTCCCGAGTGCTGGGATTACAAAGGTGGGCCACCATGCTGGGCTTCCAGGACGTCTTGATCTGCAGGTGCCCCGAGTTTACATGGGGGAAGCTCACCTGCGCCTCTGCCGATTTGAGTTGCTGTTTGAGGCCACCAGAAAACTGTCCACTGTGATCCTGCAAGTGTGTCCCTGTGTGCCAGGGTATGTAGTACTTGGGGCGTTTTCCTCATTTGCTGTCCTCACTCGCAGGACTCATGGCCTCATTTGAGACAGACGTGTGCCTGGTGCTATGTGGGACACCTCGGGCTTCCTGTGCACACAAATAGTCACGGCTTTCCGTACAGCATCTCTGTTCGCGTTGTTGGTAGGAAATTGAGGAAAGTGCGGTCTTCTCCAAGCTGGCGCAGTCGTTGAGCACAGCTGATTCAGCCTGGTTCATCTGACTCCACTGGGCCTCTTTAAAACATCTTCCCCCTGGCTGGGAATTTAGTTCAGTGGTTCTGCCACCTGCCTCGAAAGCCCAACGTCCTAAGTTCAATCCCCAGTACCAAAAAAAATTTCCCCCTTTTTCTTTTTTGTTTTTGCAGTACTGGGAACTGAACCCAGGACTTTCAAGTTGAGCTACACCCTGAGCCCTGTTTTAATTTTTATTTTGACAGTCTTGCTAAATCCCAGGCTGGGCCCAAATTTGGCAATCCTCCTGTCTCAGCCTCCTAGAGTGCTGGGATTGATTACAGGTGTGCATCACCACAACCTAGTTTGTTGTTGTTTGGAGTTTTTTGTTTGTTTTTTGAGACAGGTTTTCACTATGTAGTTCAGGCCGGCCTTGAACTCACTGTGTAGCCCATGCTGGCCTTCCTCCTGCCTCAACCACTGGAGTGCTGGAATCAGGGGTGCGCCACCACTCCTGGGTTTTTTTTGCTTTTTTTAAGGCAGGGCCTTACTGTATACAGTGGACCCTTGATTTATAAACTCAATTCGTTTCACCAGGGGTGCTTGTAAATCAAGTTGGCTGTAATTCAAGACTATTTTTCCCATAAGAAATAATGGAAACACCCATAATGCCTTCCAAACCTCCTAAAGCACCCCTTAACCTCTTCATAAGGGGGGGGGGTTGTATAATGTGGATAATTTACCAGAAACACCAATAAAGTCCCTAGTGTATTCACCAAAGTTAGAAAGTGCGCCTCGTTTACTAGAAACGACAATTGCACACTGCGCCCACCGCCCCAGTGGGCACCTTTGGCTCCCAGGAGGGGAGGATGAAAGCGAAGGCGGTTACTGTTTGGGAGGAGAGTCCCCTTCCACAGGGACACCCGGAGTCTGGCTCTCTGGAGCCCTTTCTCTCCTGGGGAGAGTCTGTGGCCCACTCCAACCTGCTTCTGGCTCACTAGGTCTCAACCTTCTCAGAACTAAAACCTGGTGTGAGGTTGTCCGTTTCTTTACATCAGCACTGTTCTGTGGTATGACGTGACGTTGCCACTAGGCAAGAGGATGCAGAGATTGGCCTTTTCTCTGAGTGAGTCTTCTCTTGTAGTACCTCTGCTCCTTGATGGGGGTTTCCTCTATTTCGGAAGAACTTTATACCAGGCGTGGTGGCCCACACCTGTTATCCCAGGACTGGGAGGCTGAGGCAGGAGGATCACTGTGAGTTCGAGGCCAGCCTGGACTAATGGGGAGGCCCTGTCTCACAAACAAAAACAAAACAAAACAAAAACCAAAAGAACTTTTCTGCACTGATGGCTGATCCTCCCCTCCTCTTCAGAAAGCTCCTCAGCAGCCGTTCTCTGTGCTCAGCCAGAAGCCACTGCGGCTCGTCCACCTGCGAGACAGTGTCATCATCACAGGGCCAGTCGGAGGCTCGGCTCCTCTACTCAGCCTTTACAGTCTTCTGTGTCATTTTAGGCTGCACTTTCTTCCAGCCAGGTCTCAGGGTCCCAGGATTTCTCAGTTAACCCCACACAGGAAAGATCGCCATTTAGGCCGTAACTCAAGACTTTGGTCCTAAGTTAAATCCCTTTTGTGACCTGAGTTGTCTGTATGTAAGGCCAGTCGTGACCCCAGGGTAGCTGTAGCCTTAGCTGGCTTTCAGTTTTCAACCTTCCTGCATCGGCCTCCTGCCACCAGGTTGCCTCCTTTTTATCCCTGGCCCTGCTCCGTGGTGCACACGCTCTTCCCGTGTCCGTGCTGTGTGCACAGGTGGGGTCCGGTTCACTCCTGCAGGCTTCGTCTCATGCTGCTCTCAGACTTCTGGCGAGGCGCGTGAGCCGAGGTCTGGTGGTGACAGTTTGGACACAGCCAGTGGCGGCCCTGGGCTTGCGGAGCCCTGCAGTTGGGCAGCCGTAGGTGACACCCTGCTTTTGCCCATCCAGCCCCCTGTGCTCTCTGACCTCCGGGCACCTAGGACGCCCCGCCTCTCAGACAGACCCCTGAGGGCCTGGTGTGGATAAGGCCGGCAACCTCATTTCCAGCCGGGCATGGTAGTGCACGCCTGTAATCCTAGCGTTCCAGAGGCTGAGGCAGGAGGATCCCCGAGTTTCAGGCCAGCCTGGGCTACACAGTGGGACCCTGTCTCAAAAAGGAACAAAAAGGAGTCTCGTTTCCTTGTCAGTGTTGGAGCCACTGTCATCGTGGGCCTTGTCATTTCCCGGTGAGCTGGGCCTCCCCTGGCACGTTCCTAGAGTCTGTGTGCAAGTGGAATTGTGAAGGAGGTTATGCGGGGGACTCTGACATTTAAAGCAAGCTCGTCATAGGGGCTTTGGTAAAACAGAGAATCACACTGTCAGGAACAGCCTTCAGCTTCGTCGGGTCAGAATGCTTGGACTTTTGACCATAGGATTGTCTTACGATGCAAAATGGTCACAGCTGAATAAAACCCTTCTTCAAGGGCCGCGGATTTAGTTCAGTGGCACTGAGCCCGCCTTGCAAGTGCAAGATCCCGAGTTCGATCTCTGGTACCAGAAGAAAAAAAAAAATCAAACCTTCTGTTCACCAACCAGAAGCCAGTTAGCAAACGCAGGCCTTTAGCCAGACGCCGGGCTGGAAGGACAGGGCCCTGCCCCCATCCCGGAGGCTCGCAGGCGAGGGCAGTGTGTGCACCAGGAAGGGCTGCCCCAGACTCTCATATCTGATCCCAAGTGAGCTCTGCCAGACACTGCAGTGCCACAGGGGACAGAAGAGAAACAAACCTCGGGCTCCGGACGCGGCTGTCATCCTCCGAAGAGCCTTGGCCTGGTGGGGAGGCAGACAGAACGTGAAGCAGGAGGTGGCAGAGCGTGAGGCCCCCGGGGGTCTGTGCCGTGGCTGCCGTGGTACCGTGGGCAGGGAGCAGGCCGCCCTCCTGGCCGGCAGAGCCACCAGAGATGTGGCAACGCGGGCCGGTGGCCACTGGCTGTCAGCCCCGGCAGCCTCCACGTTGTGCTCTGCGGTCCCTGCGGTGGGGTAGTGGCACGGAAAGCCATGTGCCCTCTGCGCAGGCCTGGGCGCCGGCCGAGGTTCCCGGGTCTGCAGGCGGGAGGCGGGGCCGCCCCGGGGAGCAGCGGAACTGCCTGTCCAGGTGGGCGGCCTGCTTCGGGGCGGAGCCTCGGGGTGCACCCTGGTGGGGGCGGCTGCCTTTCTTGTCTTCTCCGAGCTGGGTGGCAGAGGCTTCGCGCTAGTCCTGGGCCCTTTACTCTTTCCTGACTTCTTTTGAGGCCCTAAGCATCCCAAACTTAGGGTCTTTTTGCTTTTTTTCCTTTCCTTTTCCTTCCTTTTTTTTTCTTTCCCAGACTGGGAACTGGAGATTGAACCCAGGACCTTTGCACTGTTACATTCCCAGGCCTTTTTCGTCTTTAGAGATGGTCTCACCAAGTTGCTTGGGCTGGCTCGGATTTGTGATTTTCCTGCCTCAGCCTCCCACAGCAGTGGGGTTGTAGGCGAGCACCGACACGCCCCGCCAACTTTTCCTTTTAGGGTTTCATGGCATGTGGTGTTTCTGGGTGGGCCTTGTAGGCCTAGGGGTCGGTGGTTTCCTGCAGAGGTCACTGGGGAGAACCTGGCTTCTGCTCCTGCCCGGGCCTCATCATCTTTCCTCCCGGCCTCCGTGCGGGGCCACAAGAAGGGACTAGACTGCAGGTGGACGTTGCCGGGCACCAGGAGGCCTCCTGCAGGCAACACCTGAGCGGAGACCCTTGGGGGAGGGTGAGCTGCGGCGCCCAGAGCTGGCCTTTCAGGTGCGTGGGAGGGGCCTTGCTGCATATCGGGTGGCAAGGGACAAGCTTACAGCGGGGTCCTGTGTCGGGACATCCTTAGCGAGTGCTGGCCAGGGCCTGAGCTGCCACCTGCCCTGTGCACCCTGGCAGGGCCCTGCCGCCCTCGGGTTAGTCCTCTGGCCTTGGAGACTCGGCAGTGGGTCTCCCGCTGGGAACAGCCCAGGTCCAGGGCACAGCACGTCCTCGGGCCATCAGGACGGGCCGCCTGCCTCCCAGACCCCCTGAGTGTGCCCTGCCTCTCCCTGCTCTGCGCACTGGCTCACGCTGTCTCTGCCCTGTGCGCACATCAGGGTGGGGCTCAGTTCTGTGAAAGCCTCACTTGAACTTGCACCCTAGGCCCTGTGGAGGGCGGGCGGCATCCTTGTCCCCAGGCACCCAGCTCTGGGACGGTCCTCCGTTCCTTGGTTTCTCTGTGCATCTGGCTGCTCTCCTGCACCGGAATTGCCATGGATCCTGAGGTTGGGGCTGGTCGGGCTCTCCTGAGGGCGTGGTGGATGGTGCCCCCTTGCCAGGGCCCAGTGGTGGCCCTGTGGTCCCCTCTCGGACAGCACAGTGGCAGCCCAGTTCAGCCTCTTGGGTTGAAATCTGAACCGCTGACCATGACTGCCGCCTAGCGCTGTCCCTGCCCCCTCCCCTCGCCGCCCTCAGGGCTGAGCCTCTCCTCAGTGACTGCGGCCGCTGACTCCCCCCTTCCATGGCAGGAGGTGCTGGCTTGCGGCGGGGCAGCATGACGAGTGAGGTGATCGAGGACGAGCAGCAGTTCTACTCGAAGGCCGAGTCCTACTGGAAGCAGATCCCGCCCACGGTGGACGGCATGCTGGGCGGGTACGGCCACATCTCCAGCATCGACCTCAGCAGCTCCCGGAAGTTCTTGCAGAGGTTCCTGCGGGTAGGCAGGGCACTGGGCCAGAGTCGGGGTGACCTGGGGGCCCCTGACTGTCCCGCTGGGGTCTGGCAGCAGTGACTCCCCTGTGTACCCCCACGTCACTTCTCACTGCTCTCGTCTGTGTGAGGAAGGAGACGAGATCAGTGCACCTGTTCGATTTTTTACCTTTCAATACAATTGACTTTTGTGGAAATGTGTGTCCCAGCCAGGTGCAGTGGCACACAACTGTGATCCCAGCTGCTTGGGAGGCTGAGGCAGGAGGATTGCAAGTTTGAGTCCAGCCTGGGCAGTTCAGGCCCTGCCTCCAGCTTGTATTTAAAAATGCCTGGGGCATCACCAAGTGGTACAGGACTTGCCGGGCAGACTCGAGGCTCTGGGTTCCATCCCTTGTAGGCGGAGGAACGCCTGGTCCGGGGGAAGTTCCCCCACACTCACCTGGCCCGCCTGTGCCGAGCCCTGACCCGCGTCCTGGGCTGGGCTCGTACGTGGCAGGGTCCTGTGAGTCTCCTGTTTGCCCTGCTTCCCAGGAAGGCCCGAACAAGCCAGGCACTTCCTGCGCCCTGGACTGCGGCGCTGGCATCGGGCGGATCACCAAGCGTCTGCTGCTGCCGCTCTTCGAGGTGGTGGACATGGTGGACGTCACGGAGGACTTCCTGGCTAAGGCCAAGACCTACCTGGGGGAGGAGGGCAGGAGAGTGAGGAACTACTTCTGCTGCGGCCTGCAGGACTTCAGCCCCGAGCCCGGCTCCTACGACGTCATCTGGATCCAGTGGGTGATAGGTGAGGGCCGGCTGCCCGCATGCCCTGCTCTCCCTCAGGGCTCCTTCCCGCAGGGCTTCTGTTTCGTTCTGAGACAGTCTCACTATACCCTTGTCCTCGTGACCGTCCTCCTGCCTCAGCCTCCCGAGTGCTGGGACTACAGTGCCTGGCCAGGCGCAGTTTGCTTTGAAAAATTGTAAGTGGCCCACGCCCTGCTGCATTGCGTGGAGCCACGCTGCTCGAGGTTTGGACTGAAGATGAAACCTAGGCCGGTCAGCTCTGCTCACCGAGCGTGCTCTCCTGTTGCCAGGCAGAGACCACTGTGCCCAGGGCTAGACCAGGTCAGCCCGGGAAGGGCAGCACCGTGCTCGGGCACTGGGCTGGGCCAAGAGGAACCATCAGGCTAAACCCAGCTTCAGGACTTCAGGATTAGCCATGCTTTGTGTGGCTTTGTTTTGTTTTGTTTTTATTTTTATTTTCTTTTGATACTGGGGCTCGAACTTGGGTCCTTGTCAGGCAGGTGTTGGAACCAGAGCTAAAATCCCCGGCCCTGTTTTTATTATTTGTACTGAGGGTTGAACCCAGGCCTTTGCATTGAGCTACATTCGAGCTGCCCCCACCCCCTTTTCTTGTTCTAGTTCAGGCTGGCCTCGAGCTCACTGTGTAGTCCAGGCTGGCTCAAACTCACAGCAATCCTCCTGCCTCAGCCTTCTATAGTGCTGGGACCAGGGGTGCCCACCATGCCCTGCTCTTAGGTGACTTGTAGGTGACATCTGAGCTTGCTCCTCTTGTGGATCAGGGCTCAGGACTGTGAGGTGGCACAGGGGAAGGGCTGCACCCCGCATGTCGCCCCGGTTAACCGTGCCCCTGACTCCCCAGGCCACCTGACTGACCAGCACCTGGCCGAGTTCCTGCAGCGCTGCAAGCGTGGCCTGCGCCCCAACGGCCTCATCATCATCAAGGACAACATGGCGCAGGAGGGTGTGATCCTGGACGACGTGGACAGCAGCGTGTGCCGCGACCTGCAGGTGGTCCGCAGGATCGTGCGCAGTGCGGGCCTCAGCCTCCTGGCCGAGGAGCGGCAGGAGAACCTCCCGGACGAGATCTACCATGTGTACAGCCTGGCGCTGAGATGAGGCGGCTGGGCCTCATCATCATCAAGGACAACATGGCGCAGGAGGGTGTGATCCTGGACGACGTGGACAGCAGCGTGTGCCGCGACCTGCAGGTGGTCCGCAGGATCGTGCGCAGTGCGGGCCTCAGCCTCCTGGCCGAGGAGCGGCAGGAGAACCTCCCGGACGAGATCTACCATGTGTACAGCCTGGCGCTGAGATGAGGCGGCTGGGGGAGGAGGGACAGCGGGGCCGGTGCCCGCACCTCCTACCATGGCGCCTACCAGGAGGCGCCACTCATGGGAATGCGCACGTTCCACGTCCTTTTGGTGATGGGAGCCTGGTGTCCCTAAAGTGTGGTTACAGCAGCCTGCGGCCAGGGCAGACGTGTGGCCTCCTCTTCACTGTACTCGGGGTTCTCCTTTTGCAGGCACTTTAAGTCAGAAATAAAGGGGTGCAGCCCTGTACCCTGATGGCCTGAGCCATTGGGCAGTGCTCTGTGGGGACAAATGCCAGGGTCCCAGGAAGCTGCGCCCTGAACTTCATGCCTCCTGAGCCCCACCTCACCGCACCCGTGACCCTGCTCAGGGCCGTGCTGGTTCCCTTCTGCACAGGCAGGGACGGGCTGGAATGTCACACACAGACCCCAAAGCCTCTGAGGGAATCAGTTTAATCTGTGATATAAATACATCGCCTAGCAGCCTCAGCTCCTTCCCACTTTTACACAGTGCTCCATGACTTGGGGGCCTGGGAGTGGCTTGAGGGCTCCCACAGGGCCGTGCGACAGCTAAGAGGCCTGGTCCCCAGCTCCAGGAGCCCCACTCACCGAAAGCGTTCCGTGACAGTCCGGGGGAGGGGGCACCCTGACTCTCCACGCTGCCCGCTTCCACAGCCGGGGCGGGCGGGCTGGGACACAGGGCCCTCGGCGTCAGCCATCATCCTCACCCACGCCGCTGTGCTCGCTGAGGAGGTACCACTTGAGCCTGTCGGGCAGGGGCAGGGCCTTGACCTTGGTGTCCACGGGCCACGGCTGCAGGTGGAGCCGGATGGACACGCGGCACAGGTGCTTGAGGGCCGGGGGCCGGAGCTCCAGCTGCCGCAGGGACTGGTGCAGGGCCTGGATCTTGTCCGCCAGGCTGCCCACCGGGTGGACGTCGAAGTTGGCGGGCAGCTGGAGCCGCCGGGAGTTGGTCACCATGAGGTCCAGCACGGTCTCGGCCTTGCGCAGGAGGTCCGCGTGGCTCTCATCCTCGGCGCAGCCCGGGTGCGAGCAGAGCCGCTCGAAGATGATGTGGAAGCCGGACCAGCAGGACGCGCCGTGCAGGGAGCAGTTGTAGGCAGCGCCCGACTCCAGCAGGAAGCGCAGGAGCCGGAAGTGCAGCTTGAAGCTCTTGAGGCAGATGTGCATGAGGGACTCGTGGGCCGGGCACTCGCTGGGGTCGGCCCCGTGCTCCAGCAGCAGCTGCGCCACTCGGAAGCAGAAGCGGTTGATCATCCGCGCCTCCTCCTCGTCCCCGCCCACGGTCTCCCCGAGCAGGAAGATGATGCAGGTAAACACCGTGTCCCCGTCTTTGGTGGTGGCCTTGACGTCTGCTCCTGGAAGAGCCACCGGAAGAATAGGATGGAGGCGGCCATCAACCTGACCGAGCAACGCCGGAGCCGCCGCTGGGGCGAGGACGGGCGAGCCTCACCTCCCTCCAGCAGGAGCCGGATGTTGTCCGTGTTGTGGACCTGCACCCCGTCGCTGCTGGCCAGCGCGTGCAGCAGGGCCGTCTTCCCTGGGGGACCGGGACAGGCAGAGTTGTCTTCGCTGGGGCACGAGGCTGGGCAACCCTCAGAGGGGCAGGAAGGCGGGAGTTCTGTGCACCCCGAGGCCCGCAGGACGCCGGAACTTCGCACCTCCTCCCCGGGCCCCACAGGTACGCACCATGCTTGTCGGCCGCGTTGACATCGGCGCCCAACTCCAGCAGGCGCTGCAGACATGGCAGGCGCTCGGGCTCCTCACTGGCCAGGTCCAGGGGGCTGCTCTCGTGGATCTGCGCCCAGAAGCACCAGCGCTGTTGGCCCTGGGGCTCCCGGGCTGCCCAGAACCGCCACCCCGCAGGGGACGCTGGCTCACCCGGTCCCGCCGGTTGATATCAGCCCCGTGGCGCACCAGCAGCTCCACCATGTCGGGCTGGTTTCGCAGGACGGCGATGTGCAGAGCCGTGTAGTAGGTGACCGGGTCTACAGGCCACAGTGCCGGTCAGCTCAGCCCAGCTCCAGCGGCCAGTCAGCTGCTAGGAGGCGGGGCATCCTGGCAACTGCTCCTGAGCCTGTCTGGCCTCAGCTTCCTTTCCTGTCTACCGGGCCCCAAAAGGAGCCTCCCCTCCCGGGGCCGCTGGGAGAACCCCGCAGTGTGGCAGGTTCCCAAGGATGGGCACCCAGTGAGGACCTCAGACCCCCAGCCTCTGCCTCCTCTGTGGGAGGGGAGCTGCCCCGCCCCAGCTGAGACCAGGGCGGACAGAGGTCAGCCTGTCACCTTTCACCTTCCCCGGCACCACCCGCCAGAAGGCAGCCTGTGCGCTCTGTCTCCCCAAAGGTACCAGCGAAGTCACAGGATCCTGAGAAGGAAGTGGGGAAAAGCTGCCTTCCCCTGGCCCAATCCGGCACGAGCTAAGGCAGAGCACACTGGGACCAGGGACAGATGCACAGAGCCGCCAGGGAGCCAGGACGGCCCAGCTCCCCAGAGGACAAGGGGGCCCAGCCGCTGACCTTCAAAGTTGAGGTTGGCCCCGCTGCAAAGGAGGATGGCGGCCGCCCGCGTGAGCCCCAGCTCGGCCATCTTGAGCAGCGCGTTGCTCACGCCCTCCTGGTAGAACGGGGACTGAGCCTTCTTCTCCAGCAGCTCGCGGAGGATGTGCAGCCGGCTCTCCTCGCTGGCCACGTAACTGGTCCTGTGTGGCGAGAGGGGACCCGCTGAGGGCCGGAAGTACCAGGGACGGGTTGCTCCCAGCACCCTGGGTCAGGTGGTCTTTAGTACCCTGCAGCAGTGACCGTTTCAGGGCGGTGGTGCTGAGGGGCAGAGTCTTCCCAAGGAGCAGAGTGAGACAATGGCTGAGCTTAACTGACCATCCGTCTATCTGTCTGTCCACTGTTCAGGCTCAGTGGGGGCTGAGCCAAGCGCCTCCCACGACAGCACGTGTCCTGACACTGAGCCACATGCCCAGCCTCTTTAAAAATTGTCATTGGGCCGGGTGTGGTGGTGCAACCCTGTAATCCCAGCACTCGGGAGGCTGAGGCGGGAGGATCGCTGTGAGTTCAAGCCCAGCCTGGGCTGCGTAGTGAGTTCCCAGTCAGTCTCAACTACATAGTGAGACCCTGTCTCCAGTGAATGAATGAATGAATGAATGAATGAATGAATTGTCATTTGGGGTAAGGTCTCCCTAAGGTGCCCAAGCTGGCCTTGAACTTGCAGTCCTCCTGCCTCAGCCTCCCCGGCAGATGGTACTATGGGTATGCGCCTCCACCTGGCCAATCTAGGCCTCTTAAACTGCATTAGGCTCCTCCCTTGGGCTTCCTGATAAAGGGCTGGGCCTGTTCAGTTGTCTTCCGAGACCCCAGCAAATCTGGCCTCGCTCCAGGTCGTCAGGACTGAGGGGAGCTGAGGGTCACCCCCACCCCCGGAGCCCCACACGCGACACTACCCCTCCCCGAGCTGCAGGGCCGCCTCCC